CCGTCCAGCCCTTACTTAGCCTCATAAACGTTAATAAATTTCAATTTTCTATAAACGTCGATGAAAGAGGAATAAGCCGCGGGCCAGTGAATGCAGCACTTTTTCAAAAGATCGCCAACAAGTTGTCGAGCGAACAACGTCGCACGTAAGAAAAGGATCGGGCTGGAGTCTATGCTCGATCGGTCGAGTCCCGATGCCGCCGTGTTTGTCGAAAATGTTAGCTCGTTGTCATACGTCTGCCGGCATGTACTTTCACGTGGGGCATGTATGCGTGCACGTGTCTTATTTGACGTATGTCGTGGCCCTCGAGGAAAGGTCGCGAAGCGCCGCCGAGGTGTCAATGTTTTGCCTAGGAATTATGATCGTTAGGCAAGCGGAAACGTGCGCGGTGCATGGACTACGTTTTTCGGCTCTACGTATCCTACCTTTCGTCACTCGATTGTCTTTGTCGGGTGATTAGTAAGCTCTCGTACCGTTGCCAGCGATTCACTTTTAGTTTTGCGGCTCCTCGCACGCAGTCGCAATAATTGTCGAGGTGTAGGCTACGTGCGGACGAGTGGCATTCCAGTTTTTTTTCTCTCTTTTTCTTTTTCTTTTTCTTTTTCTTTTTCGTTTTGTCGAAGATGAATCATGCGAGAAGCCAATGCTTCAGCAATGGGAAAAAGACAACTATTCTTAAATTGTTTCATAAACTCGGACTAATACTGTATGTTTACATTGCTTCCAATGAATTTTACGAACGTTGTCCGAAATATTTGATATCGTCGCACAAGCGCCAAACATCTTCATTGAACGTTATTGACATGATGGTTATCCCGTAATATCTTTTAATATTGCAATTACTCTTAATAGCTTATTTTTAATCCTTTTTTTTCTTTTTTATTTTTCTTTTTTTTTTTATTTTTTTTTTTTTTAATTTTTTGCTTTCTTTCCATTCATTAGGTACAGATCCTATATATCTATCTATATACAGTACATATATCTCGAATTATTGAATATTTGTGTCTTAAAGTAAACGATAATTATGTATTGCTACTATGTCAAACACGAAAGACAAATAATATGTCGACTTTTCCTTTATTAATATCTTTAGTATTATAAAATTATTAACCTCAACTAAATCGTTGTTACGCATCTTGTTAAATTGAAAAATTAATATATGCCTTTTATTGCAAAAAAATATCTATAAATTACTCGGGCAACTTTTATGTAGCTTATAACTCAGGCTTCTGTATGCATGTAAATAGAAAAAGTAAATTTTTTTAATTGCATTTATAAATTTGATGAGATTTCAATTCATAATAATAATTATAAACTATTAGTTTAAAATGTCTAAATAAAAGAAAAATAAACAAAATAGACAAAAGACAAGCTAACTTTAAATAAAAATAATAAAGACTTCAAATTTATTTTAAAACGTATAATCGGTTCAATTTATTCTTCGTTTTAATTTTCATTTTCATATTGTCAACAATAAAAATGCCTTGTATGTATACAAAATTTATGTATATATATATATATATATATATATATATATATATATATATGTGTGTGTCTTTTTTTTCTTACATAGGACATTCACGACAGTACGTTACATTATAAGAAATTCTTTGATCCCTTTTTTTAAGATATGAAAAAGTTAAGGAATTAGGATATTATTGTAAGGTTATAAAATATAGTCAATGTAATTTCGATGATTGAACGGTCTTTGGTTTAATATGATACAACAGAGCGGGCACCTGAAATAACGAAGCCCGTAAACTTATTATTACATATCCACATATATAATATTTTGTAATTTTATTATATCAGATCTGTTTATATACAATATATACGAAGAATCAATTTTTTTTATTTTTATTTGTTTTTTTTTTTTTTTTTTTTTTTTTTTTTTTTATAAATTAAGATATTATTTGAAGGCCTGCAATGTGACTGACAGTTCTTATATTCCCAATAAGAACATTAAAATGTGTTCGTACTCAGTCACGATTACGGCCGAAATATTAACTTTCATAATTTATAACTTATTGCCCTGATATGCATATACGATAAATTAATCAAGACACTTCGAAATATAATTGTGAATTCTATATTGTGCGAAATGATTATTTGCAGAAAGAAGAGATGCTACAATTTGAGACCGTATTTACGATAATAATTCATTTTTACATTCTTTTAGAATTTTACAAAATGAATAATCATTTTAAAGAGAATTTTAGACTTGCGCTCGTTTCAATTTAACGAAACTATAATTTATGATTAAAAAGTGTAAAAAATATATAAAAAAAAAAAAAAAAAAAAAAAAAAAAAAAAAATTAAATAGTACGAGAAGAGAAGAAACGGTCGAGAGTGACGTCTCGATCGACGACCGGTTTTGCGAGGAACATTGTTTTAATTACATTTTTTTATCATATTCTTAATTAAATCGACTAAGCCCCTGATGTTAAGGCACGTATGAGACTTAAGACTTAATGTCGGATCGAGATTTACAAATTTTGCGCGTGTTAAGCCTTAAATTCGTCCTAAACGCGCTTAACACACTAAGAGTCGAACTACGTTGCTGCGTATATCGACATGGAAAAGTTTTCTTTATAAAAAAAAAAAAAAAAAAAAAAAAAAAAAAAAAAAAAAAAACAAATAAATAATAAAGAAGTGTTGCTATAAGATTTTTCAACTCAAACGCAGCTTTTTAAAATACTATACTGCTCGAAAATTTTCACCGTATTAAAAGAAAAATAGTTAAAAATACATGTCTATAAAATTAAAAGTCTATTAAAAACGTTCCTTAAAAGACAAAGAGAAAAAGACAGTCTTTGACAATGTGTAAAAATATAAACGAGAATAGCGAAATTCCGAGTGTGCTGCAAAGCTTCGCTTGGTTCAGGTCTATAAAATATAAAGAAAAAAAAATTGTCGAAAAGTCGCGATTGTTGCTATAACTTTTTGAGACTTTTATATGATGGATATAAGATTCTTCAAGTCCCAAATGGGGAGGTACGTCAATTCTAAAAGAAAAAAGAGGATGAAAAAAAAATAGAAGATTTATATGAAAGTATTTCATGCGTTACAGCAACGTAGTTCGTTTGACCGGAAGCTCATGTAGTGGCCGGTATATTCATACATATATATAATACGTTTCCGTTTTTTATCAAAATGATTTTTTTTTTTCCATAATTATTTACACCTTTCATCCATAGAACGTAATTATACATACATATATAAAATATACTTTTAAATATAGCATTCGATCAGGCGTCACGTAAAGTCTTTACAAAAATAAAATAAATAATCTGAATAAATACGCATATAATAATAATAATAATAATAATAATAATAATAATAATAATAATAATAATAATAATAAAAAATAATAATATTAATATTAATAAGAATAATTACACGGTTAGTCAATAAATATTAATCGTAGATAGGATTAACAAGGACGGGTTTTCATTTATTTTTAATCTTTTCTCTATGCTCGCATCTCGTTTGGGAATTAATAATTCCTCTCTTGGACATTTCTCTTTCTGTTTTTACGTGCCCAGCGACACGCTATATTCCGCCTCAAGATTTCGTTTATTACGTTTTCCTTCCTCGCTACGCTTTCTCCTGGGAATATTCTTTCGTTTCTCTCACTAAATACACTACACATTATAAAACACTCACACTCAATCGTAAGCACGTAATCGTTTTATTTTCAAATTCTAGTCGGTCATTTCGAATTTGCAATGTTTAACGTTGAGGCAGTGAAGAAAATTTTTCCCTTACTCTATTACTTTCGAGAACTCTAAGGTGAAATAATCCATCGATGCTACTAACGATTCAATATCGTCTCATGCACACCATAATACACCATAATCGTTAAATAATATCGATCCATTCCTTCCGGATCTTTTATTAAAGATTCGCGGGGAACTTTATGGATTGTTTCGCATTATGTTTCAGAGTATTGGGAAAAATTTTCATTACGCGACAAATTAATCACACTCGGTAATGATAAGAGAAAAAAACTGAAAGTGTCGCTGTTGGCTTAATTTTCCTCTTCGCGAGCGTGTAACCGATTTTTCAAATTTTCTATGTATTCGCTAAAATGATCGAGGGATAATTACGATGACGGTTTCTCTTGACGCGGTGGCGAAAGCCGGCCGACTGGATAGAACGACTTTTTTCTTCCCTTCTTCTCCTCGGTATTTCTCGAATAATAATAATCTTCGCCTCTTGTAAACGAAAGCCGTTTTATTTCGCTATCCACTTGCAACACTCGTTTGGATTCGAGCTTTTTCTTTATCCTCGCATTGCTGCAGAGACTCGCCCCTCTGGCTGTTGAAAGGGTAACCATTCAAATTTTTCTGCCGAGAATACCATACGACTTTAATGACTACCTTTTCAGGCGAAATTTATCTTGCAATCCTTGTTTCTGGATTCCATGGAGGAAAAAGTAACTGTTATGTTACTTCTGTTAAGGCGCTTTTTGTTCGCTCGCGATGTACCATTTTTCTTATCGTTGAATGCTGTGGGAGTGATTTTTATAATGGAAAACATAAGTTAATAATACAATATACAACTTTTTAAGCCATTTCACTTCAGAAAGTCGCATGAATCAGGAGCTGAAGCCTATTTATGCTTTTGGCAATTGCACAAAAACAGAAATAAGACGTTCGTAATGGAACTCTTATTTATACAATTTTCTGCATGAAATTAATTTAATTTAAGAAACCTTTTCCGTCGCTTTTACTGCAATAACTATATACTTACTTATATAGTTTTTAATGTAAAAACTATATACATACATATATAATTTATATATGACAACATCACGATTTACCTTTAGAACTATATAGTTTTCAACATAAAAACTATATGTTCAACTACATAATTTCAGTAAAAAAAAACACGTTTCACATAATTCATATACGTAATTCACAAACCACATATGCAACTACATAGTTTTACGATCCAAAAGTGATTCACGTACGTTTTGATACCCAAACTATATAGTTCGTCACTCGGGGCCTCTTCCCTCATACAAGCCCACCAAGTTAAGCCAAACGAGTCACTCCTCACAATGCCCAATGATAACAAAAATCATCATCGCCGCGACAATCAAAAACGGCCGCCCAACACACAGACCACAATGATCGCACGCACACCCACTCGCACGCCTGCCCCATGCTCACGCAAAATCCTGCGCGACTCCCTCACTCGCTCGAGCCACGGTCGCTGCCTATCACATGGAGAGAAGAAGGGCTTTTTGCATCCTCGCGCGATTAATTCTGTAGAAGCGCGCGAGTCTGCGATTGATAATGGTCGTCGTTGCTTGTATTACCCTGCGCCGGCCTTCGCCTGGCCATCCTCAGGACTCGATGCCCCGCACGAAGTGCTCGAATACCTGGACGATATACTCGAGGCCGTTCATGTAGTCGCGGAAGATCAGCCAGTCGCGAAGGTTGCGAAAGGTCGCGCTGTCCGACATGTCGCGATACTCGGTCGGCATCACCTCGCGGCTGACATCCGCGCGTAGGACGACGCCGCGCTCGGCCAGGGCCATCTGCAGCTCGCACAGCACCTGAAACAGGAGCACGATAGTCTTTATTACTATCGAAGCTACGATGAACGTACGAGGTCGTTGGTGAGTTAGTTGGCACTGATGGCCAACGCGAATCTGTCCTGAATTTTTACCTCCACTCACGCCCTCACCCAACTCAATCAACGTAACGACTTAATTATCAACATTATCATTTGTTTTTCAAGTGATTGCATTGTCTTACGAAGGTGCGGGCAAATTTTGAGGTCCCGCTTTCAAAGTCGCAAGCAAAATTTTATTCCATAAGTAGGACTTTAAAATAGCGACGACTAGCTGGTCGACAATCGTGACACGACAAATTTGAATTCATAAAGAAAGAAATTCATCTTCTTGAATAAATAGATACGAATATATTGACAGTGTCTTTCCATAACTAAGTGACGCATATTTTTCAATTTATACGGCACTAAATCAGTCATATGTACTTGAGGAGAAAGAAATAAGGAAAGCCGGCACCGCTTTGGCATCAAAATAAACATTTTGCTACTATAATTTAATTATGTCGACAACGTAAACACGAACGTATCATAAAATCATCGATATTTCCCATGATTAATATTAAATATAGCTTATTTAAAAGTTCGAAAGATATTTATACAGGAATCTTCAATGTGTACAATAAAACGGGAATATATAAAAGCGAAAAGAAGATATTTATATATTCCGATCGATGAAAAATCAAATAATACAGATACAAAAACTTCGTATAATCATTTTTTGCAAATTGCTCAATTCGCTATATATTTTTACCTGTTTCATGGTATTTAATATTATTAAGAGTTTTCAATGTATGGAAAAATTTTATTGCATTGGTTCCTCGAATTTAATCTATTATCAAGCCTTTCACAATAAAGAGATCTTGGTTAAAGATCTAATCATTTATGTCTGGATTAATTAAAAGTATCTTGTATTCTTACCGCGCGAAGATTGTATTCCGTATCTTTAAACTGCTTTCGGAACTCCAGACCGTAATCTTCCTGATCCCAAGCTATCTGCTCGAGACCAACTGCATACCTCTGCATGTATTCGTAGGCATCCAGCAGTGCCGTATCAAGCTGTAAATCAAGAGCAATTGGCAATATTTTATTAAATTACACTAACAATATAGCTACAGTCGTGATAATCGGCACGAGTAATTAATAAAGTTAAAGAAATTCTAAATCTGAGAATATTTCATATCAAGTGCATAATGAAATCGCATTTTGAGCTTTTTTTGCTTTACGTTTGACTAAATTATTCGACTATTTGAGGTAAGAGAATGAGCAATGTACTTACCATGCGTACTTCCAACTTATTGAGGAACTCTTGATTCAGCTGCTCACCAAGTTGCTTCGGAATCTGCTTCAAGCCAGGCAGCCAATCATAATGGTTGTCTTTCCATGTCAAATGCAGATCCGCATAATCGGTATTGAACGTTCGCTTGATCTGCAAATGAAAGTAACTCTGTGCGTAAATACAAAGGACCAATTTTTCATTACTTTCCTTTCATTAATATATCGATCGCGGGCTATTGTTATGGCCCGAGTAATGTATTAAAATTTTATCGTTATACAGATACCGTATACACGTTATAAAATAAATATTTCAAAATTATCATTTCCGTAATAAACGACAATAAACGTTGCTTCTTTTCGCTGTAATAATACCTAAAGAAATATCTCCCAGGCAACAGCATTTAACGAACTCTTATATCCCCATAGAAACCAATAATCGTGCATGCAATAGAGAGAAAAAAATTTACTCGTCTATGAATGAATATCGTTGAAGGAGAGAGTGAGAGAGAGAGAGAGAGAGAGAGAGAGAGAGTGAGTGAGAGTGAGAAGGGGGGGGGGGGGGAAAACAATTCTAGCGATCTCGTAATCGATTGAAGTCACTGCCACCGAAAAAGGTGCCGCTCGTAAATACCCTGGATGTGATGAGCTATTAAGTCGTGATCCCAACGTTACGAAATCCCAAACTCCGATAATTTGACGTAATGCACGAGGGGACCGACATCACTGAGTGGACTGGAATATTATCGGTTAGTCACAAGTGCGCAAGTGTAACTCTATGATCCACTTTCGGCTGCGGCATTAATTGGCTGAATTCTCGGTAGTTAAGTTAAAAAGAGATTTAAGTAGTAGACGCGAGAATTACTACGATCCCAATTTTCACCTTAGCGAAGTAATCTCGTTCGTGGAGGTGTAATTTGCACACTCTACATACTTTACCGAATTATCGTTGAAAGTTAATTGCCAATGTAAATATTAATTAATCGATGGGAATGTAATGCAATACGCCCATAATATGCGGTATATCTGCTCTGTTGATTTGTCTTTTATACTAACAATTTTTATTTAAAAAATGCGGATGAAAATATTTCGTCCAAAATACCGAGCGATAAGGGTGATTATTATTAAGGCAAAGTCGATACGTAAATATAAAGATATCATTAAGCTGTTTTCCAAATCAAATAATCACTAGGAGACTTCTCGGAAAAGTACGGTAAGCCTCACTCCTGCAACTGTATGCGTTATATAAATAAACCGTTTCATATTGTCAAAACGATACGTATTTTATTCTATATCATATTAAAAATAATATTTATTGGCAAGTCGTTATTATTAAACCGTGTTTTTCAGACACATAACGTCTGAGTAGTATTAATTCGAGGGACAGTCTCGCGTCATAAACATTTTGTAATTATTTATTCAAATAAATGGAGAGGATCCGATAGGTATTGATCGATGATTCGTCAATAAGCGGATAAGCGAGCGAGTTGAACGTAATGCAGGCAAATAAAGCGAACCTCGATGAGCGACGTCAAATCGACTGTCATCATAAATTAGGCGTTTATCGAGCAGACGAGAAATGAAACCGCATTTCATTATTTAAATAAAAGATAACTAAGCTAGGCTTCCGAGTAAAATGGCTGGGGAAGAGCCAGCCGAGCCAAAAGCCATTCAACGCACCTTATCAGCCCACAGGAATGGCAATAATCGTCGCGCCTGATTACGAGAGACTTGTGCGCGTATTCGCGATCGATCAACGGCTAAACAACGTAAGCTCCCGTCAATGACGCTCACCGAACTACCTGGATCGTGTCTTCCTGTTATTTCATTATTGAGAAAACGCTATCTCGTGGCCCAAATTGCGTATCGAGTGGCGGATAAAAAATTTTACCTTTCGAATGGTAAGTGACTCGCTGGATTATGGAACAAATTATATGAAAAACTATCGGCTTTTTCACTTTGTAACCATAGAAATAGGGCGCTCGATTTATGATAAAGGTTTTAAAAACTGCCTTGGTTATTATTATTTTGCGCATGGTGTTTAAAATGGGGCATCTCCGGATTCATGTGACGAGGCCAGGTAAGCTCACAGAGTAAATTTAAAATGAAAAAAAAAAAAAAAAGAAAGAAAAAGAGAAGAAAAAAAATCCGTAAAAATAACTTTTCAGGGTAATGCCAGAACCTTCAATTTAGGCAGCGGCATTGATTTTTAGGAAAATACCCGCGTAATTTCGTCGGCCGCGAAAACGCACACTTCAATACGTGCTCTTCTTATATACGACTCGGCCATTCGTCCGAGAGATCGGAAATCACACGGGATTAACAAAGAATGCCGTTTATGTGTGCGCGTTTGGTATACCCGAAAATTTCATAACTACTAATAAGAAAAAAAAAAAAAGGGGTAAAAAAAAAAAAAAAAAAAAAAAAAGAAAGAGAAAAAATTGCCGTTGGAAAGAGATTGTTGGGAGGTTCTAAAGGTTAAAAAAAGAACCATCGCTGGAGCCAACGACGACTATGACGATAACGGCGACGGCTATGAAGACAATGACGGCAACGACGACGATCAAAATGATAACGACAACGACAACGACGAGGAAGACGAGTACGACGAGCAAGACGAGGACGACGACATCGTCCACAGGCACAAATGGGCATAAAGCATGATAAAAAGAGGTGGCGTCGGAGAAGAAGGAGGAGGAGGAGGTAAAGGATGAGGAGTAGTATGAGGCGGAGGGGGGAGGGAGGGAGGCAGAGAAGGAGGAGAACGAAAGGCTAATTGATTTTGGCGGGTCTTCTACTACGCTTGGTTACCTACGATACAGTCGACTTCCTGTCGGAGTGCGCGCGTGCGCGCGCGCCTTCGCTTTATTTCGAAGCACCGGTTTGTTTTACGATCGTGTTTCTTCTCCTGACTATGACGATCGCCAAGAGGAAAAAAGACAGAGTGGACGAACGCGAGAAAGACTGATTTTTACGAGGTACAAAAGAGAGGCTTCTGGCACACATCCGCACATACAGTAGACGCTCGTAATGTCCTGATAGCTGTTATCGACAATGTCTTTATTCGTTTCGTCTTGTAATTTACAGCATTTTTTACACCAATGACAAGCAGTCGCTTTTTATGTTTTTTTATTTATTTATTTATTTTATTTATTTTTTTTTTTTTTTTTCACTTCGATCGCGTTGTGGGAGCGCACAAAAAGACTGTTATTTTTCCCTTAGCAATTGCTGTTTAGAGCATGCAAATACTGTATTGGAACTACCGGTCACATTATGGTTTTAATTAAACTTTAATCGACAAGACTTTCTCGATCGGTTTCCTCTTCATTGAACTTTTGACCGATGGTGTATTTGTCATATTACATTACAATCCAAATAGATAACATTCTAATGGTAAATAGCGTCTTTTGAAAGTCCCAAAAAGCCTACTATCACCACTAACTCATAAGATATTCCGAATTTTCTTATAATATTGTAGCCATAATTAAGTCCATTAATCTTTAATTAAGCTAAACTTTCAAATAGATCGTTAATCGCGAAAGCAATGTTCAAAGTATTTAATAGAACAGCTCTATGGAGATCACGAGATAAATTTCTATTCAAATCACAGAAGTGGTATTTCGGCGCCTTAAGTATATTAAACGTATTTATTAAGGTACCGCGATAGCAAATACGGATAGATCTCGTCGTAAAACGACATTTAATTATCGGTCAATGGGCGATCGATCGTGTTTTAAACATACACATCGAAAACCGATTACTAATACAGAAAGATACAGATCCCTTTGAACTTTTGCGACTTCGTATCCTTTAGATCGATATAGATACAAAGTTGTGGACGTATATTTTTTTTTTTTTGTTTTTTCTTTTTCCTTTTTTTTTTTAACTTATCTCCCCGGCAGAAGTTTTACATTTGTGGCTTTCTCTCGTAATTTACTGGTTGCCTGGTACGAAATGGATGTGAATCGTTAATCAAGCTTACATAGTATAATCTGAAAACGAAGATAGTCGAATGTATATGTCACGCGATAAAATTAATTATAACTAGTACTTTAGAATACACGAGAAAGGAGCGTGTTTCGAATATCAAAATTGTGTACTAACTTTTAAACAACATCTGTAAGTCGAAATAAGTGGCGATAGGCTCGGTGCGGTGTAGAAAAGGGAAACTACTCCGATTACTACGATTTCCAGTATATCAACAATTTGCGAGATGCTCCCTCCTTATAAATTATCTCAAGACAATAAATGATTTGCGACAGCTCCGAATCAATATATCGGCGTCAGTCGTCATTTCATCGCCGCATCAAAAATCAACTCAGCTACGCAAAAGGAAGAAAAGGCGATGAAATTTGTCGCGAATTAGAGATCGGCAGCATGGCTGCATCGAAAAGGAGCGAGGATGCGCATGCGGCGGCGTGCCGGGTAAGCCCAAAGTGAGAAGACACAGTACGTCAAGAGGATGGCGTATCCGGTCTCTCTCTCCGAGCTCGTTTGGTATGCAGGCAACGCAATGTCGGTGTGTGCCGCCGTCGCAAACGCCGATGCCGTCGGCTGGCTCGTGTGCTCTTGCCCTTGCCTCGTTTGCCGATCGGCGCCCATCGAGCTTCCACGCTCGAAAATACGCGAGTCCAGACGCCAGTCCCGTCTTCGTTCACCTTACAATTGTTGCTATTTCGAATTTGCCAAATTAATTACGAGATTTTGGGCGACTGGGCACGCGATGAGTGGGGATTAAAGGCGATTGAAACTTTTAAGTAGGACCTTTGCGCGCGATCTTGTCACACACGTTCGAAAGAGCACGGCTCAGGAACGGAATATTATTATCAAGTATTTCGACAATCTATTTGGGAAAAACAAATTGGCAAACGTTCAAACGAATCGAGACAGGCTGCCAATTCGATAGATCTCTTTATCAATAAATATAGTTAGAATTATAACACTTGGAAGTCGACGCTCGCAACATCCGATACCCCAAGGTTTTTCCCAGTCAGCAACAATTCGTTATCTATGCTACTGATGCTCAAATCACGTGCCCTTATACAGGTGAAAGATAAAAAGGGAAGCAGCGCCGTACTCGAAGGCTTCTTACGAAGCCACAGAATGTACTTGCAGTGATGAAAGATAGAATTGGTGTTGGTGCGTACGCGCGTGTGTGTAAGCAAGCGCGCGTTTACAGGACGACAGACTAAAAGATAAAGCGACCGAGCGAGTGAGCGAGGGAGGGTGGGAGAGTGGGAGAGTGGGAGGTAGAGAGATAGAGAGATAGAGAGAGAGAGAGAGAGAGAGAGAGAGAGAGAAAGTGAGAGAGGGAGGATGGTGGGGGTAGTAGTAGAGGGAAAGAAGAGAAAGGGAGGGTGAAAGGAAGAGATGCACAGGTGGTTTATTTCACTCGAAGGCGACCAACTGTCTGAGCTGGTGCGAACTCGCGCTGACTTGACTCTTTCTTCAAACCAAGCAGGAGGTCTTTCTCCTTTTTCATTTAAATAAAGAATATCATTGTCTTGACTGTTATTAAATAAATATAGAATTTAAAGTTGCTAATTGCGAATTAATTGTATTTAGTATACATTGTTATCAAATATTTTTCACCTAATCTAAACATCCTAATATTACGTTTGGCCACTGTAATATTAGAGTCTACTTTTACATAAACATGCTATTGATATATTTGCAATGAATTTTCAGTCAATTTTGGTATAATTATCGATTGTGTTATTAAAAATATTGATTAATTCAATTAAATAAAGCAATTATTGAGTTGCATTTATTCGTTTGCGTTTCGAGTATAAATAATAGGCAATTCTTATAATATGACAATGTTAATTGACATCGTATTATCGATGCGATTCTCTGTAAACAATAATATATAATCGGCCGAGATCACATGAGCTGGAATGCGATGCTCGTCAAGGCACATACTAATTATTCCTTAATATTCAGAAATTGATCACGTCTGATCGCAATTGGTCATAGTGAAGAAAACAACGGCACTTTCGAATATAAAGGCATTTTAAGATTGTCATTCATGGATGAAAAGGGCCATATCTCTCGGTGCACACCGTCGAAACGCCGGAAGAGCACGAAACTAATTGCGTGCTAACAGTGTAAGCCTTCCGAATACAGAAGAAGCAAAAAAGAACTTAAAAGAATGAAATGAGAGGCACAGCGAAGCAGCAGTATCATATCGCTGATGAAGTTGGGCGGCGAACGCATAAATTAGGGAGCACGCGTGTCCGAAACAATTCGAACGACCCGCTCTAGGCCTTGAGCAACGATCGGCTTGAAAAATCGCTGATTTATCGGGCTCGGCAATGCAGATAACGAGCGCGCGATCGAGCGGACGCCTTTAAGCGGGTCGCACGGGTGTCCGTCTTTCTATGAGGGAACAACGCTTGGCTTCGCTACTTTTTGCTCCTTCCCCCATCCCACTACTCTCCACGCCACACATGGCCCAGAGCAATCCGTAGAAAAAGAATTAACATAATTTTCCATAGTCGCTCCGAAGAATTGTTTTTTCGATGAGACCCCTCCTTGTAACCTACATGCTGTGCAATTTAACAATTTGCATGTGTTTTTTGATCGTGTCCTGAAATCGAATCGATTCCATTGAGGAGACGTTTTCAAGTGTCGAGGAGAAAACGGGTTTTCGCGCTTCTAATAAATATTAATTAACTCGGAGGAAAGAGATAAGAATCTTGAGAAAATTACTCAAAAAAAAAAAAAAAACACGACACTGATCACCCGCAACTCGTACCGCTTAAAAAAAAAAAAAAAAAAATATATATATATATATGATATATAAATTGAAGCGCATCGCTCATTTGCTCATTGGTTAAAATTCTGAACGCGACACTACTCAACTAGAGCTCTTCCTATTTATTTCACAATTTCGAACTCTATAATGCTCAATGAAAACATTGTGGCAATAATGGCCAAATGATAAATCGTCTATAATAATAAATGCAGCGCATTAATCAATATAAAATAACTAAAAGGTAAGATCACCTTCCGAATGGAATAATTCAGGCTTGATGAATTGAGAAGCGCGATAATCTCTGTATCATCGAGAAGGATAGAAGATCATAGAAAAGGAGAAAAAAGTGAATTGGCGAAACGCACACCAGCAAATACTTACATAATCATCGCGAAAGCCTTGCGCATAATTGAGGGCTGTTTTTGCTTGCATAACGATGTTCCCCAGGAGAGTTTCGTCGTTGAGCTGAACGACCTCCAGGTCGCCATCAAATTCCTCCGCGGCGAAACCGCATGGGTTCATCCACTTGGGGGACGAGCTCAGTCGTCTGTCCTCCAGGGTCATCGCCGGGGCACTTTGCACCGAGACCGCGAGTAGCGCCACTAAAAGGCTACCTAGCCCTGAAACAATGCAAACAAGCCAATTTCTTACACACTTTTGTTCGTATTTGGCTGCAGAAGCCTTCATCAATCTACATGAACGTATTTGTCGGATGGGAGATCATTTACATGTGTGTGAAAATTCAGCGCGACACTTCGGTTTGCTGTTTCAAATAATCTAATTATAGTCGGATATTGGCGCCGAGCACTAAGTCATCGTTTGTAATGATCTAGGCAGTTGGGGAATATTGTTCTAAGCGATGTCTTTGCAGTCATCAATCGACGAACATTTTCTCACAGTTCGTCAAAGAATAGTAAATGAAAAAAATATGATAAATTAATTACAGTAAAAGAAAGCAATTTAATCTTATTATACGTACAAATTATATTATATCTGGTGCACGAAGAAGGTGTTTGTGTTTTAATAAGAAATAAGAAAAGGGACGTTTACTTAACTTGATTTTTACAATGATTGCGTGTGTACGAACGAAAACTCTTGAATCAAGATAATTACAGAAAAATGGTGAAATTATTAATTTGAAAAGAATTTCTTTTATGTAAGGATGGCTTTTTTTCAATCTATTCGTTATCTCATACTTTTGTAAAATTATACACACGTTAATAAAATTAATGTTTTATCAATACTTTCAATAAATATTAATAAATACTTTATATTGCAGATTATAATAGCGTAGAAAGTACAGAGTTGCTTATCAAATAAGCCCAACCACCTAATCTGGCTTATGAAATAATAATATGTAGTAATCGTACGTAATTGACGTTAATTTAAGAAAGTATAACTATTTTTCGTTATACGAGATTCAAAACTCCATTACGTGTTACCATTTATGAAAACTATTTGAAGTATGTCGCGAACTAATTAAGCTTTTTCAGAAAACCAGGAAAAGCGTTTCGCCAAAGTTGCATAAGCAAAAATGAAACGATGATGATCATGATGATGATAATAATACTAATAATAATAAATACTAATAAATAATAATTAATAAAAAATAATAATAATAATAATGATTAATAATAATAATGATAATAATAATGACAATGATGATGATGATGATGACGATGATGATAATAATAATAATAATAATAATAATAATAATAAACAATAATAGAGTTTAAGAATCAGAGGGAAGAAAAAAAAAGTTGAAATTTGAGAATTATTAGTGAAAGTTAATCATATTCATACGATATGCCACAGGAATATAATATTTCATTTGTTGATGAAGAGAATTTTTTCTCGGAATGATTAAAGTTCAACATTTACCCTTAACAAATGAGATAACATAATGCAATACTATCTCCGTAATTCGTAATAATTAAATCGCTGATCTTTTCTTGCGTATTCCGAACATCCATACTATCGCATCTACTTCCAAGCGCTTCGTGAGAGAAATGAGGAAGCGACAATGACAAGTGGCAGATCCATAAATAAAGCGCGACTCAATGGGAGCGAACAAAGTCGAAGTAAATTAGAGATGATAGGAGTATGTTAAAAATGCGGAGTCATGAATCTTAAAAAAGAAAAAAAGAGGGGAAAAAGCACTGCCTCGCCGCACGACAAGAAGCGCGCCCACGGAAAAATGCGTTAATGGTGCACTGTCCTCGCATAGCTCGTGACAATTATGCGCAATTATCCCGGAATTAACCCCCATATCGGTGAACACTTAACCGAGGCTTGCGGTAGGTCGTCATCGGCGGCATCGTTCACCTGTAAAACCCACCACACGTTCGCTAATTTATCGCGTCGGCGCATACACTCGTGACACGCGCGCGCGTCGCTTTTGCTTTTCCATGCGTCTCGTGACTCTCGGCACTATCATCGGTCTTTTCCCTTCGGCATTCGCAGAGTCGCTTTTGCCAGCACTGCCAGCATTGCCAATAACTCGCGAGAGACACATATCGATATTAACGCTTTATCGATAGTATGGGAAATTTATAATATTGTATGCCGAATAACAGTAGACCGTTGATTTACAAAATTAATTTGCGAAATTACATCGCGACTTTATCGAAAGCGCATGGATACAACACGACGTTTTAAATCGGCCAATCGAGATTACCATTTGATGGCATTGTCTTTCGCACGGCAAATTAATCATACGGTTGTTTCACCTATATATCTCGACGAGTGACGTAACGTCTCACACTCCAAATCGCGCATTGATTCATTCATCAGCCTCGTTGCTCCTTCTTTGTAGCCTTTCGATCGCGCGCACTCGTCCATCATCCTTTGTATTTATGACCGTATAGTCGAGTACCCGTACGTGCTGCTTAACGGGTATACGTAAATGCGAGTGCATGCCTGTGTGCGCGATAGGGGAACATCAAGAATATTCCTCGTGGAGAAAATATGCGGGAGACGCGAGTTATTCTTGCTAATTATTTTTAATGTGGCCCTCCGACGACGACGTGCTAATTATCGTCACTGGTTTTTCTCCCGACCTCGACGAGCGTCGCCTCGCGTTGTGGGGCGCAATGCGCTGTGGCAAAACCAGCGGTTGAACGCTGTTGAACGCGCGCCGACAAATTTTCAAACTCCCGCGGGCTCGCAATGCGCGAGCTTTTTCCAACAGCGCACTCGAGCATCCCGCTGTTTTCTAATCCGGCCCTGCTCACTTTAATCGTTAATTCAATTTATATAATCACCCTACCGAGAGCTTTCTTCTTTCTCCCACTTCTCTCCCCTCGAGGTATCACTTAGCTAAAGGTTAAAAAGCCGATCTATTCTACAATCGAGCATCGTTCAGTCTAATAGGCAGCAAAGAATAAGAAATACAAGAGTCGCAAGTGCGACCGCCTTGGGCGCTCTTCGGTACTTTTGAAAATTCGATATAAGGACGGTGAACTAGATTACTTTCGAAATCGCGAGAGGAGGCAAATTCGCGATGCACACTTTGGAAAATACGCCGAGTGCGGGTAGAAGCGACAAAAGGAAAGTGAGCTCTCCGAAGAAAGGGAAATCGATGGAAACGAGGGAGCGCGAGATGATCGGTGGCGCTGCGCGTCGTACGAGCTTTGTGTATCGATAAGTCCGCGAAAACCGTTACCAACACACTCGGTCGATGACTAATACGTTCATCGGCTCGCGACCAACACGCAAGCCACTGACGTCACGCTTGAGTACAATGCGAAAAGAAGCGACCGCTAGCGGGAAAATCATGCCTGCGTGAAAAGGCTGCTGGACTATGCGAGCGCCTGTGTATAAGCGTGCGCGCATGTGCGAGGATTACACGCGGGGAATCATAAGATGAAGAGAAAAGACAGGGTAGGGAAGCATAGCCGGACATGAATTATTCGAGCGCGCGCCAACTTCTACTCGTTTTCCGCAATTTTCCGCCAGGGACTCGGACTTTTGCACGCCTATCTAAACTCAAGGTATACAATGTATGTTATTTTATCATACAAAGATTTAATTCATTGACTGATTCTAATTCGCAGCTGCTTGTTATCGATTGTTCATACATGCACGTTTACTTAACAGTTGGCAAAACGATTTTTTTTTTAACCATCATTTTGACAATTAAATCTTGCAATCAATTTCTTAATTTATCCAGTTGTAGATTAATATTCTAACCTACGACTTGATAATAATAATAATAATAATAATAATAATAATAATAATAATAATAATAATAATAA